ACTGGAGGTACTTCTTCTCATCATCCAAGAGAGGCTGGAGGCTGTACTGATGTCACGAAAAAAGGGAGCCCATCCTGCAGAGTCTGGGGAGGGATTGTGGGGGAGGAAGACGTCATAAACATTGGGGACAGAGAAAAAAGACAGATGGTGTTAGTGTAAGTATAGGAACATATCTCTGGAAGCAAGAGGGTCCAGCTCAGGCTCAGCGGGCAGATCTAGGCAGAAAGCTGCTGGGCCCTGACACAGTGGGACGTAAGCCTGGAAAGATGGGAGGGAAGAAAGAAATCAGCAACTCAAAAGCATGCCCTGTCCTAGTGATGGCTTGGCTGGTCGATTATTTATGCCAAGACTGTCTTTTTGCGGAGCACAGGCTCCGGATGCGCAGGCTCAGCGGCCACGGCTCACGGGCCCAGACGCTCTGCAGCACGTGGGATCTTCCTGGACCGGGGCATGAACCCGTGTCCCCTGAATCGGCAGGTGGACTCTCAACCACTGCGCCACCAGGGAAGCCCCCAAGACTGTCTTTATATGTGTATGTGAGAGAGAGTGTAAGAGCCAGGGATAAATATTAATAGTTCACGTAAGTACAACTCAGCCTCTGCCTCATTGCTTCTGGGCTTATTTTATCCTCTTGTTTTCCTTGGAGAACCATGTTTCCTCTAGCCCTTGTTCAGGGAGGAAAGAGCAGCGTTCCTGGCACCAGAGTGGCCTCCTCCCACCGACAGTCATCTCAGTGAGCAGTCCTGTCCGTTTGCCTTGTCCTGTCAGGACACCATTGGTCCCTCTGGCAACTTGGGTGTTTTGTAAATACACATTCCCTTGCCTTTCCCTCCTGCTGAATCAGAAGCTGTTCTGAAGACTCAGCCAGAGCAGCTAAGTCATGCTTGATCCTGAGTTTAGCCCAGTGCCTGGCAGAGTGAACTTGGAACAAGGGATTATTGTTGAATTAATCCTACTTGTGTTTTTGTTTCGTTTTTTTTTTTTTTTTTTGCAGTACGCGGGCCTCTCACTGCTGTGGCCTCTCCCGTTGCGGATCACAGGCTCTGGATGCGCAGGCTCAGCGGCCATGGCTCACGGGCCCAGCCGCTCCGCGGCATGTGGGATCTTCCCGGACAAGGGCACGAACCCGTGTCCCGTGCATCGGCAGGCGGACTCTCAACCACTGTGCCACCAGGGAAGCCCAATCCTGCTTGTTGACTGCAAAAGGAAAAGCACTTTCGTGAGTTAAGGGTAGTGGTTACTGAAGCTCAGAGGTTTGCCTCTGTCTGCCTGGAGAGGCCTCTTGTCATAGTCACAGCTGCTGTTTCCTTGATTTAATGGTCAGAGAGTTGTTACCATGAAAGGGATTGGAACCTGGTAAAAGTTTGGTGACAGTGAAGTTCAGTTCCCCTTGTTTCCTTACTTCCTTAGTAGACTGCTCAGAGCCAGAGCCCCTCCTGCCCAAGACCCTTCAGAGACAAGCCCTATGAACAGGAGCTGTGCCAGGGTGAGGCACTCTCTGTTTTTATTGTTTATATACCCAAAGCCCTGGAAGAGTAGGTTCTCAATACTGTTGAAGGAATGAGTCCAATTCTTTGTTTTGTCTGGGTGACATAGTCATTTTCCCATTCTGCATGAGTGCCCTTTTGTCAAACCTGAATGATGGGTGTGTGTGTGTGTGGGAGAGGGGAGAGTGTGAAGGATGACTCAAAGTGAGAGTTGCTGGTCGAGCTCAGAAGAGCTCTCTGACTTCCAACTGCCCAATCCAGCTGATTTGGTAGACTTTCTTGGCCGTTCTAAGTCCCACCCTTGACACTCTTGACTCCTGTTTCACCCAAGGATACGAGAAGCACAAGATGATCCCAGGACATGTTTCCTTCCATAATACATGTTCAGCAGCAGGAGGCTTGGGCTGGGGAAGAGGGAAGAAATACCAGCCTCCATCTTGATTTTAGACCTTCTCTCTATGTACCCGATAAACAACGAAGGGATTTATTTATTGTACAGACCCTCATTCAGGACCTCTGCTCGCTCTTGCCCGACCTCTCTGTAGCACTTTGGATGTTTTTTGTTGCAAGTCATGAAATACCCAACTAAAAGTAGTTTATACAAAAAAAAGACATTTAATTATCTCACTTAAGAAGTTACAGGTAGGTGGTTCCAGTGGTTCAAGTTTGCCTTTTTGGAACTAGGTTTTTTGTTTTTAATTGTGGTAAAATATACATAATGCAAAATTTACCATTTTACCCATTTTAAAGTGTACGGTTTAGTGGCATTAAGTATATTCACATTGTTGTACAATTGTCACCACTGTCCATCTCCAGAACTTTTTCATCATCCCAAACCGAACTGTGTACCCATTAAACAATAACTCCCCATTTTCCCCTTCCCCCCCAGCCCCTAGTAAACACTATTTTATTTTCTGTCTCTATGAATGTCACTATTCTAGGTACTTCATATAAGTGGAATCATATAATATTTGTGTCTGGCTTATTTCACTTAGCATAATGTTTTCAAGGTTCATCCATGCTGTTGCATATATCAGAATTTTATTCCTTTTTAAGACTGAATGATATTCCATTGTAGGGGTATATCACAGTTTGTTTATCCATTCATCTGCTGATGGGTATTTGGGTTGCTTTCACCTGCTGGCTATTGTGAATAGTGCTGCTATGAACATTAGTGTACAAATATTTGTTTGAGTCTCTGCTTTCAGTTCTTTTGGGTATACACCTAGAAGCAGAATTGCTGGATCATATGGTAATTCTATGTTTAATTTTTTGATGAACTGTCACACTGTTTTCCACAGTGGCTATACCATCTTACATACCTACCAACAGTGCACAAGAGTTGTAGCTTCTCCGTATCTTTGCCAGTGCTTGTTATTTTCTTCTTTCTTTCATTCTTTTTTTTTTTCTTTATAATTGTCATCATAATATGTGTGAAGTGGTACCTCATTGTGGTTTTGATTTACATTTTCCTAATTATTAGTGATGAGCTCTTTGTTTATGTCCTTTGGGGAAATGTTTATTCTCTAATTCTTTTGCCTATTTTTGAATTAGGTTGTTTGCTTGTTTGTTTGTGTTTTGCTGAGTTGTAGGAATTTTTTATAAGGATATTAACCCCTTATAGGATATACGATGTCAACTATTTTCTCCCATTCTGTGATTTGCCTTTTCACTCTGTTGATAGTGTTCTTTCCAGCACAGAAGTTTTAAACTTTGATGCAGTCCACTTAAACTACTTTTTCTTTTGTTACCTGTGTTTTTGGTGTCATATCCAAGAAATCATTGCCAAATCCAATGACCTGAAGATTTCCCTTTGTGTTTTCTTCTAAGAGTTTTATAGTTTTAGCTCTAACTTTAGGTCTTTGATCTGTTTTGAGTTAATTTTTGTGTATGGTGTAAGGTGAGGGTCCACTTTCATTCTGTGCATGTGGATATCTAATTTTCCCAGCACAATTTGGTGAAAGACTGTCATTTCCCCCATTGAATAGCCTTGGCACCCTTGTTGAAAATCGTTTGACTGTTTATGCCTAGGTTTATTCTGGGCTCTTTATTCTCAGGTTCTTTTTATTAAAAAATCAATTAATTAATTAATTAATTAATTTTTGGTGCATTGGGTCTTCGCTGCTGCTTGCGGGCTTTCTCTAGTTGCAGCAAGCGGGGGCTACTCTTCATTGCAGTGCGTGGGCTTCTCATTGCAGTGGCTTCTCTTGTTGTGGAGAACTGGCTCTAGACGCACGGGTTTCAGTAGTTGTGGCTTGCAGGCTCTAGAGCGCAGGCTCAGTAGTTGTGGCGCATGGGCTTAGCTGCTCCGTGGCATGTGGGATCTTCCCGGACCAGGGCTTGAACCCGTGTCCCCTGCATTGGCAGGCGGATTCTTAACCACTGCGCCACCAGGGAAGTCCTCTCAGGTTCTTTATATCCTTTGGCTCCAACAGCTCGAGTGTGTTGGGCATACTTTTCGTCTCATTTCCACAAAGTGGCTGCCTTGGCACCACACTGCATATCCTATAACCATATTCAAAAGCAAGAACCAAAGATATGTTTCCCTTTCTCTCTCTCTCTCACATCAGGAATACTTCCCAGCGGTTTCCTGGCCTCAGTAGACTTCTTAAGCAATGATGCACTGAAGCCACTTTGTGTGTGCTTGTGAAGGCAGATTATTACATTTTCTAGATCTTGTGATCTCGTTGCTAAACACTGCCACCTTGAAATCGGTCATGGTGGGAGCATTTATTTATACCACGGAACGTGGTAAATGCTACAAATCAAGACTTTTTCCCCCAGGAAAGTGATTTACCAGCACACAATTTGCCTTTAATTCTTATTTATCAGAACCAGATGATATGGCCACTGCTGGCTTAAGGAAGTATGAGAAAGTGAGTATCTGTCATTTTCAGCCTCTCTCAAGGGAGGTGAACTTCGTTAGCCGGCAAGGAAAGGGAGAGTTGGGGAAGCAACCAATGGTGTTTGACACTAATGCCTCCCAATGGTGGGAACTTTTTGTAATCACTTAAAAGAATATCTTCAAAGAATGCCAGAAGACAGAGTGCTGTGGTCTCGGTGGTAGGATGGACTGAGCTCTAGCAGTTGACATGGTAATTACGATA